TTTGACACATTATAGATTTCTGACACAGAATAAATGTGGTCAGATAACTTAAAAATTTGAAATGGGACATTTAATCTACCTAATGGTCCAATATCCAAAATCCAATGGTTAGATGAAGCATATATAAAAAAAAAAAAACATGAATTCAAACAAAGTTCAATTTTGGACCCTTTGGACCTTAATATGGACTAATTTGAAAACAGTGCCCAAAATTAAAAATCTGAATGCACATGCAGTTATATTCAGCATACATGTATCAAAGAACCACCAGAATTCAGTTTTTGATGAAATTAAACAAAGTCTTACTTTGGACCCTTTGGACCTCAATGTAGACCTATTTAAAAATGTTCAAATATCCAATATATAGTAATACATGGTAAAAACCTCAAACAATTCAAGACTTTAAATTAATCCTCATTGAAATTGGTTAAAAGATTTGTATTTATTTTCAATCGAAGATTTCTTTCTGTTGTGCAATACTTAGTAAATATGTTTACAAACTAAATATAATAATTTACACACCCTGTTTGGTGTGTAACTCCTGCCATATATATCAGTATTTGCTGTTTATTTATATAGATCGGAAATAATGTTTGTGAGAACCAGCTTAGCCAATATTAGAAAAGTCTTGTTTTTGGCCCCTATTTGTCCTCTAGTTTCTAAACGATTTAAGCCACAACCCATTGACTAATACTTAAACCAGAAAAACCTTGTTCCTCCCTCCCTTTTTGCCCCTTATTCCTTAACAGTTTGAGCCATAACCCCTAAAGTCAAACACAACCTTCCCTTTGTGGTATGGAACCTTGTGTTTCAATTTCATAGAGATCCATAGACTAATACTTAAGTAATTGTCCATTAACCAGAAAAACCTTGTTTTCCCCCCCTTTTTTTGCCCCTAATTCCTGAAGGATTTGGGCCATAACCCCCAAAGTCAATCCCAACCTTCCTTTTGTGGTATAAAACCTTGTGGTACAATTTCATAGAGATCCATACACTTATACCAAGTTATTGTCCAGAAACTAGAAAAATGCCTTTTTTGGCCCCTTATTGACCCCTTATTCCTAAACAGTTGGGACCATAACCCCCAAAATCAATCCCAACCTTCCTTTTGTGCTATTGAACCTTGTGGTTAAATTTCATAGAGATCTGTTCACTTATACTGAAGTTATTGTCTGGAAACCAAATGTCTATGGACGACGATGACATGATAGCAATATACAAACGCAAATTTTTTGAGGTCATATAAAAAATCTGGTGATTTCCACAGTATAATAAAATGCTCCGCCGGGCGCAGCTTGATACGACCGCAGAGGTCGAACCCTGAACAGTTGGGGCAAGTATGGACACAACATTCAAGCTTGATACAGCTCTGAATTTAGATTGTGATTAAATATTTGACACAGCATAGGTTTCTGACACAGAATGAATGTGGTCTAAGAACTTAAAATTTTTTAATTTACCTAGTATGGTCCAATATCCAAAATCTAAATACATGGTTAGATTCAGCATATCAAAGAATCCAAAGTATTCAATTTTTGATGAAATCAAACAAAGTTTAATTTTGACCCTTTTGACCTCAATGTGGACCAATTTGATAACGGGGCCCAAAAATCAAAATACATGGTTAGATTCAGCATATCAAAGAACCCCATATATTCAATTTTTGTTGAAATCAAACAAAGTTTAATTTTGGACCCCAACTGGGACCAACTTGAAAACTGGACCCATAATCAAAAATCAAAACACATGTTTATATTCAGCATATCAAAGAACCCCAAGAATTCATTTTTTGTTAAAATCAAACTAAGTTTAATTTTGGACCCTTTGGACCTTAATGTAGACCAATTTGAAAACTGGACCCAAAATTAAAAATCTAAATACATGGTTAGATTTGGCATATCAAAGAACCCCAATAATTCAATTTTTGATGAAATAAAACAAAGTTTAATTTTGGACCCTTTTGACCTCAATATGAACCAATTTGATAGTGGGGCCCACTAAAAAGCAGTGTAAGGGAAGTAATTTAAATGATGTATTTGATTTATCTCCCTTACACTGCTTTAAATTATGTTTTGTACTAAAGTATTTGTCCATATAGAAATGCTTGTTTTTTGCCCCTTTTATGGACCCTAATTCCTAAAATTTTGAGGCAATTACCCCCAAAATCAATCCCAGCATTCCCTTTGTGATATGGAACCTTGTGGTACAATGTCAGAGAGATCCATACACTAACACACAAAAAAATAAAAATTTTGCAATTTTTCCATTTATAAAGGGGCATAACTCTAGAACTGTTAAAGTGACGCCACCAAAATTCAAACTTGATCTGTGTTTTGTGGTAATAAGCATTGTGTAGAAGTTTCATAACATTTGGTTGAGGCAAACTAAAATTAGAGAATGGAAACGAAAAATTCAGCAATTTTTCAATTTGTAAAGGGGCATAACTCTAGAACAGCAAAAGTGACACCACCAAAATTCAAACTTGATCTGTATTTTGTGGAAATAAGCATTGTGCAGAAGTTTCATAACATTTGGTTGAGGCAAATTAAAATTAGAGAATTGAAACGAAAAATTCAGCAATTTTTCCATTTGTAAAGGGGCATAACTCTAGAACGGTAAAAGTGACTCCATCAAAATTCACACTTGTTCTGTGTTTTGTGGTAATAAGCATTGTGTATAAGTTTCATAACATTTGGTTGAGGCAAACTAAAGTTAGAGAACGGAAACGAAAAATTCAGCAATTTTTCCATTTGTAAAGGGGCACAACTCTAGAACAGTAAAAGTGACGCGACCAAAATTCACACTTGTTCTGTGTTTTGTGGTAATAAGCATTGTGTATAAGTTTCATAACATTTGGTTGAGGCAAACTAAAGTTAGAGAAAGGAAACCAATTTTGGGAAGTACGTACGTACGTACATACAGATGGACAAGGATAAAACTTAATGCCCCCTCCGCTACAGCGGGGGCATAAAAAAATATTGGAACGTGCTTGTACAGATATAAGAGAAATCATAGTTATTCAAAGCTAGTTCAAAGCCAATTTTAACTAAAAAAACAATTTTCCCAGTCTAAAAAAATTGCTTAGCCGAGCGCAGCTCGATACGACCGCAGAGGTCCAACCCTGAACAGTTGGGGCAAAAATGGACCCAATATTCGCGCTGAATTTGGATTGTAATAAATTTTTTGACACATAAAAGGTTTCTGACAGAGAATTACTGTAGTCAAAGAACTTAAAATTGGTTATATTATTTGAATTTATATTCAATTTTTTGCTTTTGTGCAATACACTTTGCTGTTGGGAATTAACCCCCCCTCACCCCACAAAAAAAATTAAAAAATGTACCCCCCCCCTTTTCTTTTTGCTTTTGTGCAATACACTATGCTGTTGCGTATTAACCCCCCCCCCCCCCCCCCCCCACACTTTTTTTTTTGCAAAAAAAATAATATTTGAAGAATTTTTCTTTAATTTCTGAAATCTGAAATGAAAAAAAATTGATATGGTCATAATCTCAATTCAAATTTCCAATGGAGTTTGCAACCATAATTAACCCATTTAAATTTACCATAGTTCTAACTTAATCTATTTTATAAAAGAATTTAAAATATGGTGTCAAATCTTTCATATGGATTTTTTTGTAAAAGAAAATTGATGCAACATTTGCAGATATTTTTACTGGTCTTCCTTTATAAATATACATTTCTTTAAACATAATTTAAAAGCAGTGTAAGGGAGGTAATCAAAACGTTGTATTTGGATTACCTCCCTTTCTCTGCTTTTAAATTGTCTTAATTGTTCATTAACCATTACTTTATACATAATTTAAAAGCAGTGTAAGGGAGGTAATTCAAATGATGTATTTGAATAACCTCCCTTACACTGCTTTAAATTATGTTTTGTACTAAAGTATTTGTCCATTAACCAGAACACCCTTGTTTTCCCCCCCTTTTTTCCCCCTAATTCCTAAACGGTTTGAGCCATAACCCCCCAAAGCAAATCCTAACCATCCCTTTGTGGTATGGAAACTTGTGGTATAATTTCAGAGAGATCAATACACCGTTCCACAAGTTATTGTCTGGAAACTAGAAGAATGCTTATTTTTGGCCCCTAATTCCTTAACTGTTGGTACCATAACCCCCAAAATCACTCCCAACCTTCCTTTTGTGGTATTGAACCTTATGGTAAAATTTCATAGAGATCCATTCACTTAAACTAAAGTTATTGTGCGAAAACCAATGTGTATTCGGACGACGACGACGCCTATGTCATGCCAATATATGACCGCATAAAAACATGTATCAATCAGTATATATTACATGTATATACATTGAACAGATTTAGTGTAAATATTTCATAACAGTCTGAGAAAAGCATGGCCTTTCGTAATGCAAAAAATATAAACATCAACAGGATGTAGGTCCATACAAGTCAATACACACATCAAAGTTTAACTACAGATTCTATCAAAATTAAATTCTTGCAACTCAACTTTTATTTCACATTATCAATATATTCCCCATTGAATTTTTTTTAAAGTCTGAAAGAAACTTCTCAATTTCATGTACTCAGCTGCATACAGGGAAATGATAACTTATATTCAAAATTAAAAAAAAAAAATATCTAACAAGAAATGTTTTCTTGGAAAAATCTTAACAAAAGGCTCTGTTAATCAAACAGATGTGAGTACAATGTACTCTAGATATTCTCACAGTAAATTAAAGATATATCAGTAACAAAGTTGCTTACCTGATAAAAGTTATAAATACTCATGATTTAACTTCCGAGAAATTAAAATTTGTTTGTAAATTTTACACATTAAAGGCTGCAACTTTAAATTTAACCTATATTTAAAATACCAATTTCATTTAAACTTATTCTTCATTTTTCCTCAATTATAATAAACATGATCAATGTACTTTTAAACTTTTCTTCAATTTGGTTGATTGATCATAACATCAAGACTATTAAGGGGTTATATATGTACATAAACTAAACAAATTACCATAGTCTTCTTAAATTTGCTTGAAAAAAACAAGAGATCATACATGAGGGTCTGAATGGGGTGGTTTTCTTTTCTTTATTCTTTAATTTTTTAGACCACTTTTCTCTATTCTTTATTTATTTAATGAGTTCCTATTTTTCTCTGTTCTTTATATATTTTGTTTGTCCTTTAGTATGCACTTTCTGGCCAATATTCTCTATTCTGTAAATCTCATCCTGACCCTCATACATGTATAAATGTATAAAACATGATCTATTTCAAACTCTGGTGGGGCCTCAGTGGCCGTCTGGTCTGAGTTGTTCATCTTCAGTGATCAATAGCTTGTCAACTCTGAGGTTTTGAGTTTAAATCCAGCTAGTGGTTCTCTGAAAGATGCATATAGTACCAAAAACATTTTTTTAATTTTTAATTTATTTTGTTAAACATAAGTATCGGATCCCGACACTAATGCTACAAAATGGAGAAGTTATGAAATATAGCTAATCTTGAATCCCAACTGGTACCTTCACCAGTGTCAGCTATTCAAGCATTTGTATAGAAACAGCTTACAAAAGGTGACTAACATTTGCATGTACCACTTACATCTGCTATTTTGGTTTAACCACTTCAACTTTGCAGACTGAATGTATTACAATATGTCATTTATGGATGAATAAAGTAGACACATACGAAAAATTTCATAACAAACATACATGTACATGTAAGTATAAGACACATTGACACCCAATGACTGCCTCTAACATGTGAGAAATCAGCTGTGTTGATTTCTTTCTAACATCATGAACATAAATATATATCTATGTTTGCTATTGTGTAGGGACGGTTGAGATCTATAAGCATTATGGGATTTTCATTGCAGTGCACTCCTTAGATTGACCCTAGTTTCACATTATGTCATTACCAGGCTCTTATAACTTAACAATACATTATGGAATCTGTTCTGTGTTGAAGGCCATAAGTACATGTACAAAATGTAGCAAATAGTACTTTGCCAGGTTATTCTATCCCTTAAGGTAGCTTTGGTGTCTACCTCCATCTTGGATTGTAAAATAGCAGAACACAATTGGTGTAAGATCTTTAATGAAATGTGCTTATTTCGAGAGTAGAATGTATTTCATTTGTAAGACTTTTCATATTAATACAGATAATCATGTGTTTTATCAAATTTTACAACCGTATATTACAAAAACAGAACATTTTTCGACTGATTCATTTTTTTTCGATTTTGCCAAATAAGGGGAGATGACTCAGATAAAGTAACTTTTATACAGGAATGTGTTATGAATTTACATATTCTATCATGTAGCAAGAAAACAAGTTTTGTGACCCAATTTTTCTTTTTCTTTACTGAAAGAATACAATTAGAGCTATCTTTTCATATTTTATCTTAAAATTCTATTGTTTAGTTTTCTTTTTATCACACAAAATTGGGTTTAACATGCATAATCTATACAAAATCTGACAATTTTGCACAATCTGTCGCGTGAAAAAAGCCTGGTAACCTATACTTTTTGCTATTTATAAAAAAAAGAATGATATAAACTACAAAATGTACAGTTTGGCAAATTGTTAAAAACAAGAGGCTGTCAGAGTGACAGCAAACCGGATTTTCCTGCAGAGGTCGAACCCTGAACAGTTGAGCAAGTATGGACACTACATTTAAGCTTAAAACAGCTCTGAATTTGGATTGTGATTGAATATTTGACACAGCATAGGTATGTGACACAAAATGAATGTGGTCAAAGAACTGAAATATTTGAAATTGGACATTTACCTATTATGGTCCAATATCCAAAATCTAAGTACATATTAGAATCAGCATATCAAAGAAACCCAAGAATTCAATTTTTGATGAAATCAGACAAAAGTTTAATTTAGGAACCTTTTTACCTCAATGTGGACCAATTTGTTAGAGGAGCCCACAATCCAAAATCTCTCAATACATGGTTAGATTCAGCATTTCAAAGAACCCCATAAATTCAATTTTTGTTGAATCAAACAAAGTTTAATTTTGGACCCTGATTTGGACCAACTTGAAAACTGGGCCCATAAATCTAATATTTAAATACAGGTTTACACTCAGCATTTGAAAGAACCCTATATATATTATAATTTATGTTGAAATCAAACACAGTTTAATTTTGGACCCCGATTTGGACCAACTTGAAAACTGGGCCCAAAATCAGAAATCTAAATATATGTTTATTAATAAACAATTTAAGCTTAGTTTTTAAAGGAGTTCACTTCATAAAAAAAAATATATAGCATTCAGAAAATTAGTTTTTACAGAATAACAAACAAACTTGCCACAAAATTCTTCAAACAATTTACCAAAGAAAAGAAGAAAAAAATCCAAAATCTTATTTATCATTAATACAATGTCTTTTCAAAATCTATAAAACTTATCAGTAACAAAAAATAATTGTAACAGGATGCTGTTACGAAGTCTCCCAAACAAAGCTCCAATAATTCGTCATTCCCATGGTCGCCTGACATTGGGCAAAGTCCAGTACAAATTGGTTTGTGATATGCATAAGCGACGCCTATGGATTGACCCTGTATGTCATTCAAATCTTCTTGAAATGACAAACAGGAATATATATGGTTGTTTAGGGGTGGAGATCTCGACCATTTACAAGTTCTCAAAAGGGGGGGGTGTGTGTGATCCCCAGTGGACTCGCCCTTTATTTCATATGATTTGTTTTTTTTGTCCCATACAAGAATATATATGGTTTAGGGGTCGGGATCGCGACCGTTTACAAGTTTTCAAAAAGAAGGGGGGTGGGGGTTACCCCCTGTGGACTTCCCCTATATTTCATTTGATTTGTTTTATTATCCCTTACAAGAATATATATGGTTTTGGGGTGGGGATCTTGACCGTTTACAAGTTATCAAAAAGAAGGGGGTGGGGGTTACCCCCATGGACTTCCCCTATATTTCATTTGATTTGTTTTAATGTCCCATACAAGAATATATATGGTTTAGGGGTGGGGATCTCCACCGTTTATGAGTTCTCAAACAGGAGGGGTCGGTGATGACCCCAGGGGACTCACCTTTTATTACATTTGATTTATTTTATTGTCCCATACAAGAATATATATGGTTTCTGGGTGGCGGATCTTGACCGTTTACAAGTTTTCTAAAAGAAGGGGGTGGGGGTGACCCATGGACTTCCCCTATGTTTCATTTGATTTGTTTTATTCTCCCATACAAGAATACATATGGTTTAGGGGTGGGAATCTTCAACGTTTACAAGTTCTCAAACAGGAGGGGGTGGGGGTGACCCCAGGGGACTAGCCTTTAATTTCATTTGATTTGTATTATTATCCAATACAAGAATATATATGGTTTCAGGGTGGGGATCTTGACCGCTTACAAGTTTTCAAAAAGAAGGGGGGTGGGGGTTACCCCAGGGGACTCACCTTTTATTACATTTGATTTATTTTATTGTCCCATACAAGAATATATATGGTTTCTGGGTGGCGGATCTTGACTGTTTACAAGTTTTCTAAAAGAAGGGGGGTGGGGGTGACCCATGGACTTCCCCTATGTTTCATTTGATTTGTTTTATTCTCCCATACAAGAATACATATGGTTTAGGGGTGGGAATCTTGACCGTTTACAAGTTCTCAAACAGGTGGGGGTGGGGGTGACCCCAGGGGACTAGCCTTTAATTTCATTTGATTTGTATTATTATCCAATACAAGAATATATATGGTTTCAGGGTGGGGATCTTGACCGCTTATAAGTTTTCAAAAAGAAGGGGGGTGGGGGTTACCCTCATAGACTTCCCCTATATTTCATTTGATTTGTTTTATTTTCCAATACAAGAATATATATGGTTTAGGGGTGGGGATCTCGACCGTTTACAAGTTCTTAAACAGGAGGGGGTGGGGTTGACCCTAGGGGACTCCCCTTTTATTTCATTTAATTTGTTCTATTGTCCCATACAAGAATATATATGGTTTCGGGGTGGGGATCTTGACCTGTTTATAAGTTTTCAAATCAGAGGGGGATGGGGGTGACCCCTCTGGACTTCCCCTATATTTCATTTGATTTGTTTTATTGTCCCATACAAGGATATATATGGTTTAGGGGTGGGGATCTCGACCGTTTATAAGTTCTCAAACCGAAGGGGTGGGGGTGACCTCAGGGGACTCGCCTTTTATTTCATTTGATTTGTTTTATTGTCCCATGCAAGAATATATATGGTTTAGGGGTGGGGATCTCGACTGTTTACAAGATAAAAGCACATTCTCAAATTGAAGGGGGGTGGGGGTAAGAATAGATATGGTTTAGGGAGACTTAATTATCTACAAAATGTCTAATAATGAACAGTAAATTTCAAACTTCATTTATACAGTCCTTCTAGTAAATTTCAAACTTTATATATACAGTCCTACAGATCTTATCAGGAAACAAAAATTTTTCAAATAAATCTGTCACTCCAATGATTATCAATCATACTTGCAAATCTGAAGGGTTATCTATATTATTAAACGATAAGACCTCATTTTGTGTGTCGCTTCTCTTCCTTCCACAAAAAATTAATCATCATGCCTTTGTTTCCTATAGGTACCATGCATAGTCGCATTTGTCATCCTCGCTTATGATTATTCCATTTGGGTTATTTTCCAAAAATGATGGTAACGATAATTATTTGAGACCTCTGACGAATCACGATAAGGATATTTTGACGAATCACAGTAAAAAATTTACCAATTTGACGCTAACGGTAGCCGAAATGACTGTTTGACGCCTGACGTTAAAGGGCATTACTACCCTCTTTCATAGGTGCTTGGGGGACAGGACATATTTTCCCCCGCTTTATCTGTATACTATGAACATACATATACTATAAATAAAGTGTACATTGTATTTGCTAATTACTATCAATTCCAAGTTTACCATCAACGGCGGTCATATATTACATGCTTAACTTTTACTTTCTTTTTGGCTACTTATTGTATGTTTATTTGATCCAACTTACAACATGACTTATTGTGTACTATACATATAGGGATATCTATCATTTTTTGAAAATGCCTGTTCATTTCATGTTGGTTTTCAGTGTTTGTTGTTTTAAAATGTTTTTTCTTCACAAGAAACTTGGTTTGTGTTAAACTACTTGTTTAAACTTTATTCTGGCTGATAAAATAAAATATTTTTCCTACCTACCGACCCTGCAGTCTGAAGGTACAGTCGGAAAACTGCAAACAAACATATTTTTAAGGTTGGCCTTATAATCATCACCACTAAGGAAATAGAAAATTTTCAAATAAATCTGTCACTCCAATTTCAATTTTGACAGGGGCGTAGCTACCTTCTTAATGAAGTGGAATCACAAACTATAGGGCGAGGGGTCTGGGGGCCACCTAAGGCCCCCAGTAGGTCCAGGACAAAGCCCTGGTAGGGGGCCAGGGGGGCGAAGCCCCCCGGAAGCTCCGCATATATAGCGTTTCAAAACAATCACAACGGAAATAAAACTTGGACATTTTTGTTTTGGTTTTTTTGTCAACTATTTGTTTAACTTCAAGTCGAATGAAGACTTAACATTGTCGCTCGCATTTTTTGTACGTGAAAGCTTTTAAAATCACGGAGATTTGTTCCATATGCTAGTATTTGTATTGAGCAAAGTAGATTTAAAAAAAACAAACAATAAACATAAACACAATATTATATGTGGAGTTTCTGTTAGCATAAACATCATGGATACCAAATACTTGGTGGACACATTCTCATATATTTTGCTTAACATATGTATTTAAATGTTTAAAAATTTTGTGGGTAAAATCTACAAGAGAGCGATGGGAATTTCGAATTTTACATAGTTAGGAATATTCGAAGTTGAAATTAATGAACTTTTTCAGAATTAATGGTACTTTGATCACGATCTTTTTAATAATCTGCGTTTTTAATTAGCCAGCTAATAAACAAATGCATATGCATTCGACCAGTTGTATGGCAATATCTAGATGATAACAGTGAAGATACGTGTAATAAAAGTTTGGTGTATCTTTCGAACAAGAATCAGCAGTTTAGTGTCCTACTCGGACAGATAGTTCTTTTTAAAATTGAATGACCTAATAGTCCAGTAAAACGAGTTAGAATTAACAATTTATTTAAATGGTTTTACAATCAATCATTCGTATAGCCGGCCCATATAGAAATGACTCTGAATTATCGAATCTATATAAAAGTTTTTTTTTGTAAAATAAATAAAAACGTAAAACATGTACTGGAAAATGTGTACTTTTTTTTATAATAACAGCAGTTCCAACTTCTCATCTACTAGTATACGGAAAGCTATTGATTGGTTGAATGGTTATTAATGTCCGGTAGCAAATATTACATGCACACAGGACTAGATACGTTGACGTGATGTGAAAATGAACTATTCGTGTTGTCAAGACCTACATACTTAGTCAATATTGAACTTGTTCACAAGGTAACAGTCATTATTCCCGGATCGATACGAGTTGAAGAGTCTTCATTCTAGTAAGATGGGTGCTTTGGGGCGAAGCGTAAAATAATAATTTTCAAGTTTTTTTGTTAACCCTAAAGGGATTATGTTTTTTTTTTGCACTCAAAGCGAGTATACGGTATGGTTGTGGTACCAACAACTATGTAGCTGGTATTTTCTAAACAATGCCCATAATATAAAAGTTCCTCTAAGTTTACACCAGTTGTATGTATTTATCGTACACATACATGTCTTACAGGATTAAAAATTCAACTGCATGTGTATTCCTCTTGCTTTTATTCTTTGTGTAGTTTTTAAAATGCATACATAGAAAGACCAATTCCTATATGTTAACTTTGTCCCTCTCTCTCTCTCTCTTTTTTTTTTTTTTTTTTTTTTTGTGAAAACGACGTGGATGCACGTGCTGCCGTTCCTCCGGGTAGCTACGCCCCTGTTTGAGATAAGACATTTACTACGCTTAGTCATAATATGATTACAAGAGAAAAATATTTAAAAATACCACTTTTGGATATTAAAAATGGTGATAACTCAAAAAGGATAAATACTAAAATAGTGAAAATTGAACTAGACCTTCATTTAGTCACAAGAAACAACGTATCTAAATTTGAAAAAAAATCATTACAGCGTTTTCATGTTATTTAAGAAACACTGTTTGGCAGCCGCCCGTCCGCCCTAGTACATCCCCAAATCAATAACGATATTTCCTTCGAAAATCCGGTTAAAAATTAAGTATTTTAATTTAGACCCCCCTCTACCTTAACTTTACACTTTATGGAAACCAAACTGGTTGTATGGCTGAAACAAAATGTGTCCCCAACTGCTATGGCTGGATATCCAGAGCAGTAGTCGTGGTAGTGTGGCTTAAACGTCTTGCATTAAATAAAGAATATTTTCCAAAAATCTCACTGTGTCTAAAGTACCCCAGGATACCGGATATTAGATACTATTGAGACAAAACATTTTTTGCTGGAATACACAGTCACAGTGAATCTCTATTGTTCTTTTGTTGTTGTACCAGTGTGTCCAGTCAGGAACATATATATTGACATATTGATATACTATTCCCAGGTCCAGTGAGTAGTAAACTAACTTGATGTGCAGTTCTCTGGGAATAAAAATGTGTTCAAATGCCTTATAACCATCTAATTGCTCCAATATTTAACCAGATTAACTAGTATACTGTCACTCAGTGTCAGACTATAATATGTCCCGGACAGTCCAGATGAATTTCTAATTGTATGTCTGGCTGTGATTTAAGATTCTCAAGCTATATAAAAAATTAAAGGTAACACATTTTTTCTTAAATTGCCAAATATGTAAAACTATTGAAAATCATTAAAATAATGCAGACTTACCGTTAGATTAACTGAATTGTAATGATCAAGGCAAATGCGTCGTTTTCCAATGAACAGCTGGTAGGATAGACGTTCTATAACCCAGAACATTTTATTCAGTTAATCTTGAAATTTAAAAGATTAAATATATTAATTATATAATTAAAACAAAATGTATTAAAACAACTTCAATACTAGTGAAAATATAAACGCTACAAATAATTAAAACTTAATACTAAACTTGAAAGAGTGGTGATAAAAACTAATAAATTCCAGGTTTTAGGTATTTCTCAGGAATTGTCTCCCTTCTGGAAAAGATACTTGCACATTTTTTTTATTATTTTGACTTCTTTTGACAAAATGCAAGAGGATCGGGGAGAGAAGAGAAGTTATGAAAAAGCTGATATGCCACAAAATGTAAATGACCTTGTGTTGCACTATTTATATTAGTTTAAATAGGGTTTATCTCTGTCAATTTCAGATTCAGCTGTTCAGAACATGCGGTTTCAGGAAATATATGGTTTTAACAGGTCATGCAGGTTGGAACCACCTAGCGCAGCCAAAGACGCACCTACTTAAATACAAAGAAAAAATTCTTTTTTAAGTCGGAACATCTTAAAACATAGACAACACAAGCTCTACTGCATATATCGTCGTTGATTGCAAGTTTGTTAATGTTATGCTTGCAAGTTCGTGACATTTGAGGATTTTAACTTTATTCGTGACGTCATACAAAAGTATTTATCATCGGCAACGTGCTACTTCAAAAAAACTAAACCGAATATTTTTCATTGCATTTTCATTTATATCGACTTGAAAAAGAGAAGTTGTGTATGTTCTAGCATATTATTTGTTTAAACGTCTATTTCCACTACTACTGTTTTTTTCTCTCCTAGAATTTTCGTTGAATTCTTGGGAAAATCCTTTCAGCAATGTTATTGACATCTCAACAATGAGTCATCATCTATTTTTAGGTTATGTGGCCTCTCAATCCTTTTTTTTAAGGCCAAGAGTATTATTTTTTAAATTCTGTATGTGAGCGGATTTTTTAAGATCAGAAAATGATTTGATATATTTTGATAAAACAAAACCTGCCGAATATTGGCTCATAAAAGTAATTTAATCCTATGCCATTGAATGCAAATTGAATGAAAAAATACTTTGATGTATTAATGACATTATGACATCGTTATAGTTATCTTAAATGTGTTTAAAGTGTTAATTCTGGACTTTCCAATTGACCATTGAAAGTCACATGTAAAAATTAGTATAGTTTTTGTAGGGAGAATAAAAAGCTAGTATGTCCCAATCTCTCTTTTTTTTCGAGATATTCATTTGTTATTTGATCTCAAATTTATTCTGTAATGTTCAAATACATAAAACAATAGGCCTGACCTATATATTGTTGCACATGCGCAAAAGCCACCGTCCAAGACAAAGGTCACGAACTTACAAGTATGTCTACCTATTTTACGGAATCGGGTCACAATACGAAACATAGAAAGATTGACCATGTTTCTGAAGCTTTTCATCAATTAAATGTATCAGACTGTTTGCAAATAAGTAAAGAATATTTACATCCCCAGTAGATAATATTTGCTCCAAGGTTGTGATTTTTTTCTTCCGTTTCGAGTTAGGGTAACAAACTTCCAATCATCAAGGATATATACAGAGCTTTTACATCAACATTAACAATACATGTACATAAAATAAAGATAAGATAATACACACAAAGAATATTTATTTCATCATTGCCTATGATTTCGTATTATCATATATTTTGTCACTTAGGATTTATTCAACAAAAATGTCTTCTTGGAAGAAAAAAGTTATTGCATTAATATAAAGAAGGGCAGTCTGAAACTTTTCAGACATAGAATAAGAAAACATAGTTAAATATTTCTTTGTAAAATTTTTTTAACTTTTATCATGATTTTTGGGAAGAATTTTACACGGTAAAAGTAACAAAGTAATGTATTTTATATTCAGCAGTGCATCTGTGCATTGTCTTAAAGTGGACTGCAAAGGGCTAAATCTGAAATAAAGTATCTGCGAAAATAAGTTGGTTTATAGTATTTTCCTTATATAAGGGAGATATGAAGATTTGATCACTTTTCGAGAGTGAATAAATCTTCATATCTCCCTATGAGGCGAAGCATGCCAAGCAAAAGGGAAATGAATGTTTTATTCCACTGCCTACACAATTTTTACTTCCTGAACATATTAAATTAATTTACATTCAATTTTTCATATCTGCTTGCTTTTATAACGAAACATGATGTACAGTACCGATCAAAAGTTTATTATTTATTCTATTATTAAGATTTTTTGTTTGTTTTGTTCTTGCATCTGAAATAATTTTGAACACAATAAGGATTATACTAAAAAAGTTATAGCATTATGTACATTAACCGCATGTAACATCGTACCAGGTAGTCCAGATGTTCAGAGGGGAATATGAAGTTTTGTTCAATGGGGTTCAATGCCATCCGGGATAGTCTCAACCAATCAAATATTAATTTTGCTATCATTATTTACATACAGTGTAATGAAACGACCTGTTTCTTATAAATTTACTGTCCAAAAAAAGCTTTGTTTGATGTTTTTCTTTGTATTGATCTGATGAGTTCAGTCTTTTTCAACTGATTTTTATACGACCGCAAAAATTTTTGCGGTCATATATTGGTATGGCGTTGTCGTCGTCGTCCGAAGACACATTGGTTTTCGCACTATAACTTTAGTTTAAGTGAATGGATCTCTATGAAATTTTAGCCTGTTGTTCAGTGGTTGTCGTTGGTTCACGTCTGTCATATTTGTTTTTCCTAAATTGTTTTGTCTTAAATTAGGCCGTTAGTTTTCTCAATTGAATTGTTTCATATTTTTCATGTCGGGGCCTTTTATAGTCGACTATACAGTATGGGTTTTTATACGACCGCAAAAAATTTTTTGGGATCATATAATGGTATGATGTCGTCGTCGTCCGAGGACACATTTGTTTCCAGACAATAACTTTAGTTTAAGTGAATGGATTTCTTTGAAATTTTTTAGAAGGTTCTATACCACAAAAGGAAGGTTGGGATTGATTTTTGGGATGATGGTCTCAACCGTTTAGGAATTAGGGGCCCAAAAGGGGCCCAAAACAAGCATTTATCTGGTTTCAGGACAATAACTTGTGTATAAGTATTTCAATTGCTCTGAAATTGTACCACAATGTTTAATACCACAAGTAGAAGGTTGGGATTTATTTTAAGGGTTATGGGGCAAACAGTTTAGGAATTAAGGGCCACAAACAAGCATTTTTCTAGTTTCCGGACAATAACTTGTGTGTAAGTGTATGGATCTCTCAGACATTGTACCACAAGGTTCCATATAACAAAGGGAAGGCTGTGATTGAGATTAGGGTTAATTGCCCCAAACATGTAGGAATTAGGGGCCAAAAAAGGTCCAAAAAGAAGCATTTTTCTAGTTTCGAGACAATAACTTGTGTTTAAGTGTATGGATCTCTCTGAAATTATACTACAAAGGAAAGGCTGGGATTGAGTTTTGGGGTTATTGCTTCAAGGGGGGTTTCAATAAGTTGGGGGGGGGGGGAGGATTTTTTGTTTACAATTTTTTTAAAGGATTCATATTTTTTTTCAAAATTTTTCAAATTTCGAATTTTTGAAAAGTTTCAAGAAGAAATCTTCAATTGCACAGTATTGCGCAATAGATTTGTAAGATCTTTGACCACCTTTATTTTGTGTCAGAAACCTATATTATGTCAAAAATTTGATCACAATCCAAATTCAGACAGTAACAAGCTTGAATATTGTGGTCAAATTTGCCATAACTGTTCAGGGTTCGACCTCTGCAGTCGTATCAGGCTGCGCTCAGCGAAGTATTTTATTCTCATTGTTGAAGGCCCAAATTTGCCTATAATTGCTTACATCTACTTTATTTGAACTTTGGTGGATAGTTGTCTCATTTGCAATCATACCACATCTCCTTATGTATATTTTGGGTGTAAATTGAAGTTATTTCAGGCTTTACAGTTTGTTTTGATGTACTAGATCTAGAATTTGTAATGTTTGAATTGACAACATTGTTGGCTGCTTTGTCATCTAGAACAAACACAAAAAGCCTTCTGGTGAGTGTGAAATTTTATTTTCAGCCGTAGAATCATTTTAACAAACCAATTTTGTATAAAGTTACAATACAAATGTTTGATATAATTAACCAGTGTCATGCATTTAAATAATATTTATGTATATTTTGTAGCCCAAAGAATGGAAGAAGTGGAAAAAAGAAAGTAAGCTATTTTAAAGACCATATACAGAAACTGAGAAAGAATTGTTAATAGCAAAAGTAGTTTAAATTGATATGTGTAAAGGGAGATGTTAAGTATATGTCAATTAACCAACAACCAAAGGACAAACATAACCAAAAGACTTCTAGCGGGCAACATACAATCATTAACAATAGACTGGTGTTTATACAATATGTCTAGGTTTAAAGTGGGTTTTTGAGATCTCAACCCTCCTGATTTTTAATCTCAATCAGTAGACTAACAAAACACACAGAAAAGAACATACCACATAAAAACCAGCCCAGGAAAGCACTAAACTCTAAGATAACAGTATAATCATGATAATAGATAACAGTATAATCATGATAATAGATAACAGTATAATCATGATAATAGATAACAGTATAATCATGATAATAGATAACAAAATAATTATCAAATTAACTTGATAAATAGAGAATGCTAGTAGTTACTGAAAGCAAGCTCAAAGTTCTTAATTGCTGCTATCATGTCTTGCTACGCTTAATATTGGGTGTTGTACTTTAAAGAAGATTCTATTTAGCAATATGTCATGAACTCTGAAGGTACCATGCCAAAAACAGGCATTACAGAAAAAAAATAAAAGAAACACTTTAGAACAATGTAAAAATAATGAGAAAAACCCATACCGTATTGTTGGCTATAAAAGGCCCCCACATGAAAAATATGAAACAATTCAATTGAGAAAACTAACGGCCTAATTTATAAAACAATTTACAAAAAACAAATATGACAGACATTAACCAAACATCTGACCAATGAAAAATTATGAAAAGATAACATCCAAAAATTGATACCATCACAAAATGATTATAAAGAAAAGCTCTACTTCATTGCAGTAAAAAAAATTAATAAGTCACATTTTCCCAAGGCAGTCCGTAACAATAATTTCTACCATTGCCAAGACACAGTAGCAAATTGATATTAAAAGAAAAATGGATTTTTCATATTGAATGATTGACATGAGACCAAAATGTTTTGGCTGTCAGATAGATAATAGTTGGGTATCTTAAACACTACATGTTATGATATATTCATGGGTGGAAAGCTCTACACAATTAATTACAAAGGCCTAGCATGTTAAATCAAATTATATTAATTATATATTAATAATGTTTAAACATGTATTTTGCTAAAATTGTCAAAGCAATGCCAAACAGTTCATTTATTTCCAACTTGGATAAAAATTCACAATGCTCAAACCATTATAGATTTGGCTAATTTTCAAGTTTAAAAAATTATTTAATTGTAATAAATAATTATTTAATTGTACTAAATCTAAGGTTGCATTTCCCAAACCAAATTTTAGATCATTGTAGATTTTTTTTGACAATTCTGTGCAGGCCTTTTTTGGTTTATACTCTCAAATTAGAAAAGATAAGATGTGGTGTGATTGCCAATGAGACAACTATCCACCCAAGTTCAAATGAAGTGGATGTAAGCAATTACAGCTCTTCTATAAAAGCATGCAAAGCAAACCTTTGATCACCTTGCTTGCTATGTTTGTTTGGATGATTGTAAACAAAAGGTAGGTAGTCTATTTCAGTCTGTTTACTATATAATGGAATTTGATTGGACAATAAACATTAACTTCATTGCATGTCAATTTTTATTGTCCAATCAAATCCCAGTATATATAAAACAGACTGAAACTCCGCCTACCTATTGTTTGCAAACATCCAAGCAAACATAGCTAGCAAGTTGATCAAAGGTTTGCTTTGCATGCTTTTATAGAAGAGCTGTAAAGGCCTTCAACAATGAGAAAATCTCATGTGTATACCTGATGAATTTTATTCCTGAAACAATAAATGAATTGAAATAAGGAGATGTGGTGTGATTGCCAATAAGGTATTAACCAAAGGGTAAATATGACAAGAGAGAGAACATCTGTAAATATATCTCACCTTGTTGTCTTCAATTATCAACAGATTTATACCATAAAATGAGCTATAAAAGACCCTCAGTAAGCAAAATGTGAACAAAATGAACAGAGACAAACAAATTCTGATTATGGCATACATGTTAATACCCTGACTATCAATGGGAGCCTCCCAATATATATATATATATTATAAACACATCTAAATCTTTCTCTTAAGCCTAGTCTCCTGACAGGGAGGTCAAATCTCCCACTTTCAAGAAAATGTTCAATCCAATGAGAAATAGTAATTTCTGACAAATTATCAAACAATGTTTTCTTGTATTATAGAACTGTAATTGTTTAATTTTTGATACAGATATATTTTTATTTTATGTGTCAGATCTTTAGGCATTGACATGAATCAGCCTGCATTTATACTTTGTTGTGTGTTCAACTAAAGCACAAATTACATCTACTTTTATTTTCTTCAAAGAAAAAGCAGAAACAAGAAAATGGAAAGAACAGAGACTAATACAAAACCTAGAGAAAGTTCAAGCTCAAAAACAAGAAGAAGAGGAAAAGAGTAAGAAAGTTCTGCAAGAAACAAATAAAGGTACATCATTCACATTTTTAAAAATGAAAGTAGTTTTTATCAACTGGAGGCATTTTTGGAGATTACATTCTTGCTACATGTAGAAGCTTTTAACATCTATAACTATACAACTGTGAATTCCAATTAATGTGACAGATAGATTTGTGTTGACACATTATTTAGTTTACTTTTAGTACAACATCTTTTTTTACTTATAATGCAAAAACCTCTTTACACTGCACTAAGATTAGTTAAATCACATAATTAAAACCAGTAAAGAACTTATTGAAATAATTAGATGTAGCAACAAACATAATTACCAGTTATTCATGGCATTATAAATTATTTAATAATTTTCTTTTGCAGTGCAGCAGACCTTATCTATAGCACTTCCAGGGTCAATACTGGACAATGCACAGTCACCAGAACTCAGGACTTACTTAGCGGGACAGGTATACATATATGTCAAGTTTTAATCAGCATGAACATTAGGAAGATTATCTTTTGATCTGTATTATGACCCTTCATGTTAGCTTTGAATTTTATATCCTCTAAAATTTAACCTTGTCCAGGTAGGTATAGAAAAATTTTATTACATCCATCACCCAATGGCTCTGTGTTGTATCAGAAGTAATGACACTACATTTTCTTTTGTGATTTTAGGCAATTTTTATGTTATGAATGTATTTTTAAAGTTCCTTGTTGAAACTAGCCAGTTATTCCATATCATTGTGGTCAACCATGCATGGGTATTAGTTCATAAAGTTTAATTTAATTTTTGGAATGCAGATCTCAAACAGATATTTCGGATAAGAAATCTTAGAATAATTTAGGAAAATGTGCTCTTTCAGTTAAAAGGAGTAGGGACATTAAGGCCCGGTTTTGGCCCAAGAAAATAAAATGTTTGATAACTATTCCAAATTGGCACATAATGTTTGGAAATGCATGGAGTCAAGAAATATGAATGAAAAACCTAAGATTTTTTATCTGATGACGTCACAATTACGTCATAATATGTACCGTTTTCATGAAAACAATGAAAAATACAGAATTTATGCAGTTATCCATCATTATTTTCATTGTGGAAACATCGTGCACAGCCAAGAAACAACAAAATAATTTGAGAGAAGCTTTATTATAACTATTGACATAATAGCACCAAATTTAAAGTTGTTTCTTGGGTGCGCACATACTTTGCCGATCTAAAATATACTTAAAATTTGACGTAAAACAAGGAAATTAAAGAAATCGTACAAAATATACAAATTTCTTCATGGCTTGTTGCCATGGTAACTTGTTAAATGTAAAATTTGTTTCTATTTTCTGAATACCTTGAACCTTTGTCTACTTCGGACAAATTTAAGAATATTTGTGATAACTTTTAAATTTGCAGTAATAGTTGGGCCAAATAGAAGCCTTATTGCCCCTACTCCTTTGCATTTTAATTTAAAACTAATTTTATTTGAATTTTTCATCCAACTACATACATGGAATTATTTATATAATTTAAAACATATCATGTTGATAGCTTATAATTACAGATGGCCAAGGCTGTTGTGATATTTATGAAATAAAAAAATTGTTGTATTTTATAAATAATAATATTATAAGATATCAGCTTGGAGTCACAATATGAAGATTTTTTGTTGGTTAGTCATGAATGCAAAGAAATCTTCATATTTTGACATAAAGCTGATATTTTACCATACCAGTATAAGAAAAATCTTTTAATTGATTTATCTAATTGTATGTATGTAGTTTTCACGATCAAAACAATAGATTTTCTTTAGTTATAACCTAACCAGGTGTAAATAAAAATAATTATAAGTCTGAGGTAAAATTAGAAGTGCTTTGTTAAACAATACATTGATGATGATTCAGGATCAGAGTTACTAAGGCTTAGGCAAATACATTAATTTTGCAAAGACATAATATTTAATGTTGTGAAGAGCTGAGGAGATCAAAGGAAGGGAGATAATCTGTTATAATCGTAGTGTATTTACATTGTATTACAGATAGCCAGAGCTGCAGTGATATTTAATGTAAATGAAATCATTATATTTGATGAAACAGGATCTTTGGACAGGTAAGGTACTGATACAAAATAAGAGAATTTGCTGATTTCCAATATAAGAATTAGGCGCTGTTGTATGATAATATATTCTTTATTTTTGGGACTGATGGCATCTGTTGTATGGCCCCAGGAAGTACAAAACAGTTATTTTGGTCATCTAGTAAAGCAATAGTAGATTAGTACCAGGTTATATCATCAACAATTTTATATTGATAATTTTGAATATTTAGATAATTTTAGGGAGGTTGGTCATGGCCCACTATGCAGTAGATTACATTGATTTCATGCAATAGGTTTACTTTGGAAATACATGTATAAGGACTGTGTCCAAAATTTTCTAGAAAACCCAGTAGATGTGAATATTGACAGGTTAAGAAATCCAGGTCTATATCATTATAATTTATTTAACAAAATATATCTAAAAAAAAAACTTGCACACCTTACCTGGGAAACTCATGTTCTTGATCTCAATTAAGACTTGGCGCATAAGAACACAGAATATTAAACCGCGACCTCAAGGCAGATACGCTATGAATATATTTATTCAACTTTTTATGTTATAAAATTTTTATAGTTCTGGCTACAATGTATACTCAAAGATCAGGCCATATATCATTTTATCTATTGTGATTTTATATGTCACTATTACTGTCTCAGGCAGTATAAACATAATGATACCAATTCAAGAGTGCAGATACCAGTTTCAGAATAACCTTCATTAGTTATGCTCCAGTATTTCTTGTGTTGAAAATGACAATAATTTTTCCTCAAACAGTAAAGATTTAGACAGTTTTAGAAATTATTTTTTTTATTCACAGAAGTGTGGAAGGAGATTATCAAGGAGTTGGAAAGAAAGGTCATGCTAATGTTCAAATGGCCAGAATCTTACAATACTTGGAATGTCCACAGTATCTCAGAAAATCTTTCTTCCCACAACACAAAGATTTACAGTATGCAGGTTGTTTATGGATCAGAGTTCTTAGTTTGACTGTATTTTTATAATGATTTTTTTTATGTATTTACACATGTACAAGATGTAGCATGGTGAAATCATTATGAATATAAGTGCACATGACAACAGATACTTTTAAAAGAGTCATTTACCCTAAGAACTGTAGGTCAAGGTGTGAATTGATGACTGCTTAACTTCCAGCAGCAAATACTAAGGTATTACATGCTAATTCAGATGATAACACAGGGATCACCACAACCTATTTAAGGATGGCGGTGCGCCACGCTAAAATTTCTAGCACCACGTTAAAATTCCCAGCGCCACGCTTATTTTATTGTCCGCCACACTTCAAAATTCAATAGATTGAAGTTAAATTTCAGATATCCCTAATCCAATTATCATGTCAGTGGCAATTAAGAAGTCGAATTATTGTTAATTGCCTCATGGGATGTACATTGTCACTGACAGCTGATTATATTATTTACATGGTCTCACGTGGTTGAACAAGGTAACAACCAATGAACGATCATGACCCAGTTTCTTCAATTTGAAAAGTAAAACTTGTTTGCAAACTACAGTTATTTTATAAATGCATATGTTTGACTATACCTTAAATGGAATGTTTATATCCTAACTAGATTAATAAAACCAGTAATCCAGAAAACAAATGGATTCCCTGACCACATGGTCCTTTTGTTGACAACAATGTCACATGATCTCTTTTGGCGTGAAAATACTGGGTAATACCTAAATACAGACAAACATTGTCTGGTTATTTTTAGACAGTTATAGATCTGGAATAGGAGTTTCCTTATCTTAAAACTCTTTTAATGTAGGAAAAGAGTAAACTGGATATATAATATCTTTACATAATTGTATTAGAAAAGAGGGGAGTTAATTGATTTTATAAACTGCTAGATAGGCTTAATTTGGTTGAAGTGACTGAAATTCTGTGACTGAATATTTTTTTTTATTATTAATTTCTTTATCTATTTAGACCTTTTTACCATGTGGTTTTACATAAGACAATTTAGATAAAATTTGTCAGAATATTCCTGCAATCTGGGAAGCCACATCAGGAGTTAACTCTCCCTGTTTGATATGTTCCTACAAGTGTGGTGACCACTAATAGGACCAACTACAAAATCTGTGTGAGACCCCCTTTCCAAATTAGCTATATATATGACAAATACATGTAAGGCATATAATTAATAATTCATGCACAAGGAATTGATTCGACTTCGCAACACAAAATCTCTGATTTGATGAACTTTCTCCCCCACCCTTGATTTTCATTCTGTGGTGAACCCTGTAACACCATTCTTTGCTCTTACTGCTCAATGCTGCAAGTTGGCAAAGAAGCAGCATCAACCAATTTTCTATACATGTGTACTTACAAAGTATTATTTCATTTAGATTTGTTGTAGATTTAAAAATCTCCTTGAGTATGCTATAAGAACCAAAGCAATCAATGTTCAGTTGGTCAAGACCAATTTTTATTTTATTTCAGGCATTTTGAATCCCCTTGATAGTCCCCACCACATGAGAGCAGACGACAATTGCCAGTACAGAGAGGGTGTAGTGTTAGATAAACCTGTGAAGACTGGCAAGGGATCTTTTGCTAATGTTGGTCTTCTAAAGGTAAATCTTTTACATATATTATATATTTAAACAGTATGTAAAGAATGGGTCAGAATGAAACTAGTAATATTCAAACAGACATGATATATTGTACTTTTTGTTTCACAAACATGATATATTGTACTTTTTGTTTCAAAGCAGCAGCTGCATAATTAGAACAATACAGTATTTAAAAACTTCAGAAAACTAAAACACTGCCTCAAATGAAAAACATATATCTAATTGATGTTCACCAGTACAAAACATGACTAGATCAATCAGATACACAATTCTGGTTTTATCTAGTGCAAATTTGAGTTGTCTCCCCTTGATTGTTTTTACATAAGCTCCTCTTGAGTCGAACTTCAGTTGAGTTGAAATATTATAACTCTTGCGGTTTCAAGATAACTCCAGTCAACTGTATTTTAGAATTTCATATGTTTATTTCACTTTTTTGTAAATCTACATGTCATAAAAAATGCTTGGATACAATGCACAAATTCTGAAACCTTCCTTATATTATCTATGAAACTGAGGATAATATGAATCTAGAAGTCTCAACTATCATTTTCAAGTTTAAAGTTTTCAGTGTTATCAATATTAAATTACATAATTGCCAAAATTGCCATATTTGTTGTATATTTGCAACAAATACAGCAAGATTAGGCTTAAATAATTTGTTTCCAAGATAACACTAATGTTGAGCTTTACCAAAAAGCCTAGAATTGTATGAATCACACAACAGACATGTAATGTTGATCATACAAACTGTGTATATATGTTTACAGAAAGAAGTACAGATAGATAAACATTTACAACCAGGAATAAGAGTTACAGTCAAATTATCTGACCAAGATCCAGGTAAAATTTATTCCATAATTTAGTTGTTCAATTTCCTTATTAAAGGGAAAATTCACGATTTTTTACTTTTCATCTTATTATGTTCATAATACCATAAAAAACATATTTACCAAGTTTTATCTGGATATGAACACTAATAAAGAAGAAAATTGGGAATTAATAATTTAATTTATTCCAACTTCCTGACTTATGTGACGTAGTTTAAGTCTTTTTGCATGCCGGGAGTGAATAAATCTCATTGTAAGTCTTGTTCGTTAATCATCTTATAACTAGATTTAAAGCGCATCGACGACTTTTGGTGTAGCTATTAACCAACTAATAATTAAGAAAGTAAAGTGATCAGCCGTGCAACTTTCAAAATTAAAATGTACGATTTATATTCAAAGGATTTCTGATATGATTTTAGTAATAAAAGTAAATCATACAATAGAATATATTTTTATGAATTTTTTTTCCGACAGATATTTTGAACAAACATATATAACTGATATTGTTTTATAAATGCATGTTTGTATTCTCACCTGAAGGCTTTTACTTCAGTCTAGCAAACACTTCCCACTAGTACTGTGTAAATACAATGTGTATTGTACTGTGACACTTAGTGACTACCTGTTGAATGCGTGGTTAAATTCGGGAAGGTAATTAAAAGATTAGCATTCTGTAATTCTATTCTTTTGATCTTCACTCAGTGAATTTTAGCCAACACGGTTCACCGTTACAGGTGTGAACAACTTTTCGTATGAATGATAAAAACATTAATTATTTGGGGTGGAATGCGGTGGCAAAAATACCTGAATCGCCGTTATATACATGTATATCTTTTATATTTTGCGTAAGCTTAATTTTAAAATAGATAGGTGAGTATTTTGGTGTAACATCGAAATTCTGAATTACTTTCAATTAAATTATTTTATAAATAAAAATGGCCCACGAAAACGAGCGTATAAACCAAACACTGTACTTACTTTTTCAAATTATCATGGGTATTAACCTTGAATATTTCAATGTTTAGAGAAAATTATCGCGGTTACATGATTAATATAGCTTGGTTCGTCCACAGCAATCTACATTTACCTAATCGGGAATGCCCTTATTAAAACAACGTATACATACTTTAGCTATTTGACCAACGATGTTTAAAAAAAAATAACAGAATCAATCTAACGTCAACTTTCCTTTTTTGAATGGAGACAGACCGGCGGAATAAATGTTCAATGTGCTTTATATCTTGTACCTTTGCAAGACTTATCATTCATTCATAAACCCACTATATACCAGAGAAATATATGTCAGTCTTAACTGACAAGAATACACCTAAAGCGGACAAGCAGTATATTCTTTAAGTTTCTGTGATTTAATACCAAGAAAGAAAAAAATCCGGAAATTAATTTGATACTTTGATACTCAATATTTTTCCTGGAAAATATTCACATCCTCGTTTGGTCTGAAAATAAGACAAGAATTTGGTATACAGAACATGCAGAAGTGTGAATGTCATGAAACCTTGTTATATCAGAAACCATTATAAATGTGAACCTGTATACGTAAGACCTCATGGGACGTCACCTAACCACATACAGGTAATATACAAGTAGCTCTGTTATACCCGGAAATGTCAAGGTAAATCATTTCCGATACAGAATGTACCAATGCAAAGAAAATTCTGATGATTGTGAAGCTTGACCATTCATGATTTTAGAGGAGTCTTAGGTGGAAATTGCCGGTACGATTTAAATTCTGACTAGATTTTTTTCTCTCAATTTAAATTACTGAACTTAAAAAAGAAAAAAGAAACCTACGCCCAAGATAAGAATTCTTCATGTAAATTCATAAATACAACGTTCTTATTTTGTATCTTTCGATATACTTCACCTCTAACCACCGCCCCCTCCCAACATGGGAACAGTATATCTATCATTACAATGTTTGTGTACCTGCCCAAATAAAATAAAAAAAGAAGAAAAAAGAAAGAGATGAACGGTTAGTCACATCAGATTCAAATATTTATATGGCTGATTGTCGTTAACTAGAGATGTATAGTTACATGTCTCTGCGTTAATTTATAAGAATGACAGGAAAGTATATACTTGAAATAGAATTATGATGAATAATATGCAACTGCAGCACCCCTTTTTATCAAAGTGTACATACATGTATTTTAACAGAGACATATATTATGTATTATATGTCTCTGATTTTAATGACTGTCCGTTATTTCGATTAAGAATGACAATTGTACGTGAAATTCTAAAGTTGCCAGTGAGACTTTTTTTTACCAGATATGCGACTTTTCGTATTTATATTTTCTCTTATATTACTCTCATTTAATATTTTATGCATAAGTGCAATATTAGGAATGGTTTATCCCCCCCCCCCCCCCCCCCCCTTCCCTTTTAAGCTAACTAAATAAATTAATCAACCCTCTAGCTGACCAGACGTTAATACATCTACTATCAGTCTATTCGGAGTGAAGTTTCTTTATTTCTTCAAATAAGCTTTTTGGGGATCATTAGTGTACGTCCAGTGGCATATATATTACATGCATGTCGGAACAGGAAAATTGACATGAGGTACTACCGGTATAATAGAACCATGTTCACATTATTATACATAATACACAACCATTGAGATGATGACGACTTTCTTAAACTGTTCAAAATAATCTAATTGAAATAAAAATCTGTGATTTTACTATGTGCATAACTTCGATGAACCAAAGCAAGTTAGATATCGACCTGTATTTAAATCAGATTGGTTTTGGATGTTTCTCTCGTATATTCAATATACATGTATATATTCTAAATTGCTACTATCTATAGTTCCGTAACCTTCTATCTAGGCGTATAATCCAATGATCGACAAATGTGTACATTTTGTTAAATCAATATTTGTACTTTTCAAAATGTCCATAATTATTGACAACGAGTAATTACTTACATTTTCCCCAATTTACGTTTGGAAAATATGTAAATATATTTTTATTTTATCAAAACTTTTTTGGGAATTATTTAGATTTTCATAAATATTCTTTACACCATAAATGTTATTTATTAACAAGCGTATGAGTTTAGTCATAAATATAATGGCTATTATATCTATGGTTTAGTAAAGACTAGCATATCACTATCGGACACGCAAGACAAAGATGTATATTCACCTGATAGTTTCAAAATGGAAAGTTACAAGTTATCGGCCGTGTACACTTCTCAATACCCTCAGAGGTGAAGTGATGCACGTACTTGCTTTATGTAATTGTGTAATAAGAGTTTGAAAGCCCGACAGGAAATCGCTTGAATACCTGGACTTGTCAACTCACAATACCTCTGGGAACAATTTTTTAGCCATGCTGGTGATCAGATAAGGGAAGGTCCGAATTTATTTAAATAAGATTATTACATAAATGAATTATGAACACACTAGATTTTCGAAAACATTTTTACACGGAACACTTAATTTATCACTTTGAACTTTTTAACTAATTTCCATTAAAATTTCTTGTTTCAAAAACTTAGTGAAAAAAAAACAGTTTTAAAACGACGGACCATAGTACTAGTTATTCAAAAAAAAAATTCCTTATCAAGTTAGTTAGGAAAGGTTGCATGCACAACCATGTCTATTATAATCTTTTTTGTGAGCCGGGAAACTGTTTAGGCTTTCCTTGTCGGGTAAAACAACCGTACGTATGACAAGATATCAACACTCAATTGCGGCTACGTTAGGTTACTGCTTGTTTTGGTCCATTGTGGTTTATAGATATATCGTGGTTTCTATTCAGGGATGATGTCAAAATGGCCGCACACGGAGAAGTGATACACTAAATTTAAAATCGATGGTGATCTCTTATCTAGCAGAATTAAACTTTAATATTTATGAATTTGTGGTTTTTTATATATAATCAACATAATATCAATTTTTCATTTTTTTGCGAAGTATCCCTTTAATTCCAAAATATCAACTGCTATCATGTACAACCATCTTTACGACCTACGTTGAGTTTTTATTATAATTTGCAAAGTTCATTACAATTAAGTCCATGAAACAGAACATCTTCTTTTAAATTGAGGATAAGAAATGTTAACTGTTACATAAAATGTAATTTCCAGACAGTTTGCACATAGCAACATAGTGTAATAATCATTTTATTTTAAAAAGTGATTCATGAGTTTTACATTTGCACCATACAGTTTTCTATTACAATTTGCAGATTTGACATTTCAGGTCAACATTTCTTAACTTGTTAAAATGAATAATTATTCCCTTGAATTAATGCAGTCAATGATAACAAAGTATTGTTTTATTTATAGAGAAAAAGAAATGGAAAGGCATAGTTGTATCACCATCTACACCACAGAAAGAAGCTGATTTGTACTGGGGATACAATGTCAGATTAGCCAGTAGTTTAGGTGCCGTGTTTACTGAGTGTCCATATAAATCTGGTTATGATCTGACCATCGGTACTTCAGAAAAAGGATCACATATAGATACATTTACAACATCGGATGGTTATCAGTAAGTCTTAGGAAAATCTATTTAACTATATTTAAGATGTCTCTTTAAGTAGAAGTAAAATTTCTAATTCTTCAGTACAAACTATGGTAATTTGGTATCAGCTATTTTCGCCCTCACTGTGCTGTCTAATTATCGGCAATTTGTACATTTCCCTTTGATCTTACTGCCTAATATTTTCAAGATCATGGACAGGACTTGATATTAGAAAATATTAGGCAATGCCATCATGTATCAGTGCAGCAACGTCACATGTGTGTGTCCATCCGCTTCAATTTATCAATGAAATGCACACGACTTCATTCATACAACCAAACAACTATCCAAACATTTTGAACTCGATAAAGTAGTTTTACTTATTATTTCATTTTACTTCATATTCTCAAGCAAATATTCTTGCTGATGAAGTCATTATTAAAAACAAAAATGCCATTATTCTATATATATAGAAAGTCATTCTATTCAATGACCTAGACAAAAAGATAAAGATCAAATGTAGACATGGTACTGGTTATAACATTGAATGCAAAAATATTTGTTAATGAAATTTGTTATACTTTACGTTAAAATGCCAGATTTTGATTGGCTAATATGAGGGAGATAATTATACCCCCTCTTTAAAAAAGTGGGGGTATACTGTTTTACCTCTGTCTGTCCGTCCATCCATCCATCCGTCAGTCCATCAGTCCATCCATCTGTCCCATGAACATTTTTCTTCGCATTTTTTTCAGGAACTACAATACAAGGATTTCTGAAATTTGGTTTCAGGGTTTATATAAGTCGGCTATACCGTGTGATATGTTTTCAGTTTCATCACTCAACAACTTCCTGTTTACTGAACACTTGTATCATTTTACACATGATAGCCAAATTGAAAATTTTCGGCACATTTTTCTCAGGAACTACAATACAAGGATTTCTGAAATTTGGTTTCAGGGTTTATATAAGTCGCCTATACCGTTTGATGCGTTTTCAGATTCATCACTCAACAACTTCCTGGTTACCAAAATATTTGGGCAGGGGTATCATCAGTTAGCAGTAGCTCACAGTTTCACTTGTTTACTCTATTTCAATTTTTGAATATTATCCTCCCATTCAGACAAATCAAAATTGATAATTTAAAGGACAATGAATAGAATTTACATCAATAATTTTGAAGAAAATGCTCAATTGCTATGTTTTGGCCTCCGAATTTTTTTCATAGACTGTCAAAATAAATGATACATCTCGCTTCAATTTTGTTGTTTTTCCAATAACAACAACGTTATGACCATGACGTCATAGTTAATTATTTCCAATTAAAAATTTAAAAGACAATATTGGCAGAACATTGAGTTTAATAAATTAAATATCACATACCTAAGAGGGTTGGCACTGTTTTCTCGAGGTAACAATCTGCTCTATAACCCTCTCAGCTATTTGTTATTTATACAACACAGTATGAAAAGTACAAAATTAAACATGTCTTCTGTTTAGATTATAGATATTTAACCACACTAATTTTATGTGCATTAAACTGGTCACATGACAACCAAACAATCTCTCCAAGGACTTTTGTAAAGAAGATGTCTCATTTGTAAGATGTTTGGTTATGTTAAGAATTCACCATATTGTTCTGCCATTTAGATATATTGCTTTTTTTTAGCAAGAGTTTCTGTCATTTAGATCTCTTGGTTTGATAGCTCTCATGTTTCCTTTCAAAATTTTGTCATTATATGCAGCTCATCATATCAAATTACATTTGTTTTTTTTTTGTTTTTTTATCATTTTTATCATGGAGCAGATTGTTTAGTTTTTATCAATCTAAAAGGAACATGGAGCAGATTTTTCAGTTATATAGGTTTTTTAAACTTGCTTTCTAGTTATAAAAAGATCTGAAACAGTGCCATATATTATCTGATCATACCAAATAACAATGTTTTGTTTGTTTTTTGTTTTGATTTTCAAAATTCTAAGTGCAACATGAGGAAATTTGTTCAGCTGAAAAAACAATGTACCCAACCTCTTTCTAGTGAACAGATAGTGAAACAGTGCCATAAGTATTCTAAAAAAATTGCATGGAATCTTAAACAAATAAAGCCAAGAAGTACTGTTCAAGATTTCTGATGAGTCACTTTTATGTTTTTTTAAATACCTTTTTGACAATTTGTAACATCGGATTTCAGACATGCACTAGTAGTATTTGGTGGTGTTAAAGGTTTAGAGGCAAGTTTAGATGCAGATGAAGCGCTGAATGTAGATGATCCTAGCTTGTTGTTCCAACATTACCTCAACACCTGCCCGTGTCAAGGGAGTCGCACCATCAGAACTGAAGTGAGTTATAGAGAAAGAAAAATTGTAAACAGATATTTTTGGGTTTACAGAAAGCAGTTTAAATTTTTATTTTTTTTTAAAACAAAAAATAGAAGGCTTTAAAGTTATCATTCAAACGTAAAAGGTTAAAAATATTCAATTATTATTATGCTAAAGAGAGTTTACTAAAAGTAAAGTAGGTTCTTGCTTTAGGGTAGAGTTTTACAATGAAAGATTGTTTTTTTTTAATTATTTTCTTTTCATGATTTACATGGACATGATATGACAATAAATTGGGCAAAGTGACAAAATTATACTAAAACTTGACTTTATACATACACATACAGAGAAATAGAATAAAGCATAATTATTGCTACCCAAAAAATAACCTTTTACTATCAATTAGCTAAAATATTTTATCAGTTGATCAGTTTGAAAAGATGAATCCAAACTTCAATAAGGTAAAACATTTTAGAAAATTAGTATTGTGAAAGGACAAAGCCTTTTGAATATGCACATTGTATAGATATAGTCTTGGGTTAAAGTTTTATTACCCAATTCAGGCTTGTATAGTCCACGGTTTTGTTCTCCAAAATTGAACCTGCCACAAGGGGTAAGGATTATAGAGTATGATAAGCAAGAAATAAGAGAAAAATTTGATTTCGCAAGGTTTGTTTAAGTTTTGTCAGGTTTGTTATTGAAATTGTAGTGGGCGCTCTTATGATTTTCAAAACTAATAATTTACCTAATCCATATAATATGCACTTTTATTCCATATCAAATATAAACGGATAAATTTCAAAATTAAATGCTTCATTACAAATTTCTTGTTTCTCTTCACTGCATTGCATAAAAGAAAATGGAATCCATTTGAATTTTAAAAAAAAGAAAAAGTGTAATAAGTCAGCCAGGAACCAGCTTATGCATAACGATGTATAAACTACAAAACATAATCAGTTATTCGTTCCGTTTTGATGTTTCGTACTAACACATGTTTGTTTTAGCTTAAGATACTTCACACATTAAGGTGATAGATATGTTAAACATTATTTTACTTGAGGATGGAACTGTTTTACTTTCAAAGTCGTATTCTAGTGATATTTATTAAGTACAGATTTTCTGAACACTCTCACCGTATTTATTTTCGTTTACACGTGCTATTCGAAGTTGCTGTTTAAACAAACACAAGTTTCTCAATTATTTGTTTTTTGTGATTTTGACTTATTTTAACACTTGTGAAGTGTTTTAGAATCATTTACAAGAATTTCAACTTCTATATGATGATGTTTCGAAAACATGTTTTTCCTTGAAAATACTGCAAATGATCACACACGATTGGAAATTACCGGAGTTTCATTAGACATTTTCAAACAGTTTTTTACCTGAATTCTCGTGACGAGAAGGGGATGCAGACAATTTACCAGTGCAAACTATACAGGGCTTATTACGGTAGAAATCAATAACTTTGTCAAACCTTCATAGAATTTTATGAAATCGGAACAGAAGCTTCTGTATTAATAAGAGATAGCATCTGATACAAGATTTTGAAAATATATTTTTTTATTTTTCTGTATTTTACTGATAGATGGACATAGTATTTTTTAATTACCGGTACCATTTAGATACATTCTGGAGTTAAAGTTTTTTATACCTCAAATAACTTGGACAGAACTGAAGTTTAAACGTTTTTTTTTACTTTTCTGTTTTTTACTGATAAAATTTTTCGCGGTTAATATTCAGATACATTTTTTTTTAAAAGTTTTTAAAACTTTAATAACCTTTTTCAAACCTTCATAGAATTTCTGGAAATTTTTACAGAAGCATCTCAAAAATCAAAAGTTACTTTCAAGAGTAAAATTTACATTTTGTTCATCATTTTGCTGTACTTTACTAAATAATGGACTTATTATTCACCTTAAAAATTTAGGTGCAGTCTGTGGTAAAAGATTTTAAAACTTAAATATCTTTGTCAATTCTTCATGGAATGTTACAAAAGTTGGACAGAAGCTTCTTTATAATCAAGACAGCATCCTAAGCAAAGTTTTCTTCTTTTTTTTTCTCAGTATTTTACTATTAAAAGGACTTATTTTTTGGCAGTCAACATTCAATTTACACTGCCAACAGCAGTCCAGACGAGACAAAGGGTTCAGGAGAACCTTTTTCATTTTTTTTTATATTTACAGGCCCAAAACACTCCTCCTTTCATAGATTTTTTACTCAATTTTTTAATTTACGAAAATTGAAAATTCCTACAAAATTTGTAGAGTTTTCAGTTTGTCTATAACAGAATTATAGGACTTTTTCTAGTATTGCACAAAAGATACATTTGCTTTGATAGAATCCTTCGGCAAATCTTAGAGTTAATAAACATTGGTTACTTTTCTATTTTGGTGGTTTTTATTTTCATTGAAAACAATACATCCTAATTCAAGACATAAAACAATATTTTGATGACATGTGTAATTGCTCTTGTAAAAATAATTCATGCATTTCTAGGTAAACATGTGTAAACAAATTACAATGCTTTATACTGAAAGATATTTCTCTCTTTTTAGGAAGCCATTTTGATCACATTATCATCACTACGACCACAACTTCACAGAAACAGATCTCCAGATTCATGACAAAAATAAATTGTTTGTTTTATCATTCTTCATTTTATTTGATCTTCCTTTTAGATATGATTCCATTGTTGTGCTGGATGATATTGTACTTTTGTTAACTCACTTGACACCTTATCTTATGGGCCATGTTAGCTGTTGTAATCATTCAGTGTCAGTTGTTAAAAAATGTTTACTGGTATCCTATGAAACTACTGGACCAATTTCAACCAAATCGGCCTGAATTAACTATAAGTGTATCTAGTTTAAACTTTTGGTTTGTTGTTTCTGCCAATTAACCATCATGGCTACCTTGATAAAAGCTAGCAGTTTTAGATTTTTTCTTATCTGTTGTCTTGTAAACTGCCTCAGTGGTCTTTTGGTAGAGTGATAGCCTCCAGTGAAGAAGATTTTTGGTTTGATCCCCAGCTGCGTCAAAACAAAAGACTTAAAAATTGATATTTGCTACTTATACGCTAAGCACACAGGATTTAGGAGTAAGAGCAAACAATTTTTGTGGTCGTATATTGGTATGACGTTGGCGTCGTCATCGTCATCGTCCGAAGACACATTGGTTTTCGCGCTCTAACTTTAGTTTAAGTGAATGGATCTCTATGAAATTTTACCACAAGGTTCAATACCACAAAAGGAAGGTTGGGATTGATTTTGGGGGTTATGGTACCAACAGTTAAGGAATTAGGGGCCAAAAATAAGCATTTTTGTAACTTCCAGACATAACTTGTGTGTTAGTGTATGGATCTCTCTGACATTGTACCACAAGGTTCCATATCACAAAGGGAATGCTGGGATTGATTTTGGGGGTAATTGCATCAAAATTTTAGGAATTAGGGGCCAAAAAAAGGGCAAAAAACAAGCATTTTTCTAGTTTCATGACAATAACTTGTGTGTAAGTGTATGGATCCTTCTGAAATTGTACTACAAGGTTCCATATCACAAAGGGAAAGCTGGAATTGAGTTTGGGGGTAATTGCCTAAAACGTTAAGGAATAAGGGGCCAAAAGGGGCCCAAAAATAAGCATTTTTCTAGTTTCCAGACAATAACTTGTGTTCAAGTGTATGGATCTCTCTGAAATTGTACTGCAAGGTACCATATCACAAAGGGAAGGCTGGGATTGATTTTGGGGGTAATTGCCCCAAAATTTTAGGAATTAGGGGCAAAAAAACAAGCATTTTTCTAGTTTCAGGACAATAACTTGTGTGTAAGTGTATGGATCTTTATGAAATTGTACAACAAGGTTCCATATCACAAAGGGAAAGCTGGGTTTGAGTTTGGGGGTAATTGCCCTAAACGTTTAGGAATTTGGGGCCAAAAAAGGGGCAAAAAAACAAGCATTTTTCTAGTTTCCAGACAATAACTTGTGTTCAAGTGTACGGATCTCTCTGAAATTGTACTGCAAGGCACCATACATTGTAACACAAAGGGAAGGCTGGGATTGAGTTTGGGGGTGATGAATCATAAGGGGGTTTAAAAAATTTGAGGGGGATTTTTTTTCCCCTTTTTTTTCTTTAAAATTTTCCATTTTAAATTGGTTATTTCTGATTTATATATAAAAGCAAATAATAATGATATGGTTTGAATAGGTAAATTAAAATTTTTTAAGTTCTTAGACCACATTAATTCTGTGTCAGAAACTATGCTGTGTCAAATATTTAATCACAATCCAAATTCAGTGCTGTATCAAGCTTGAATGTTGTGTCCATACTTGCCCCAACTGTTCAGGGTTCGACCTCTGCGGTCGTATCAAGCTGCGCCCAGCGGAGCATTTTATTATCAATTATTTTGAAAACGTATAAATAGAGACTATAAACAGCAAAAAAAATCAGCAATAAAGGATGCAAGCTATTTAACTTTCAAATTTACCGTATCGTTACATTGATAAACAATCAACACAGAGCATGTGGAGCCATAATATTGTTTTTTCTTTTCTTTTCCATGCGTTCCCGTTTGTAAATTAAACTTTTCCTGAACAGTTGTTAAATGATTTGGTGTATTTAATTAGATTTTTTAAGAATTAGTAATTACTATTGACCTTCCAGTGCATGTTTGTTTTCATTCTTTTATCATGGTTTCCCCTTGCAATTTGCCATAGATTATTTGTAGTTTTCATTTTTCTAAAGAATAAGAACTGTAAAAATAAAAATTAGCCCAAATTTTCAACTATACTGCAGTAGCTTTTCAAAATCAATACAGCATTACACCAAAACCATATTTTTTCAAGACCTCTTCCAGTCATTTTCTAAAAGGCGATATGCGACTTCATCAGTAGATGATCGAGTTTGCTAGTAAAATTTTTTTAAATTACTGCACCAAATCAACTGACAGCTGTGAATTTTAAATCTGCAATTTATAGAAATGGCATGACACCTCAAACAAACAAATAAACACATAATGACTGAAAACTTCTAAATAATAGAAGCAATTGTACCACAACCATGGTATGTGTGCAGTCTTAACTGTGTTGGTTTGTAATACACAGATGTCACAATGTTTGTTATTTTTCCTGTATTTGGGTTGCTTTTTCATTGACATACCTCACATCTCTCTAAACTAGAGCACCAGGCCTGAAAGGTCATGTGATCTATTGCTATCACTTCACATCATTATATGTCACCCATAAAGCTGTGAAATCATATTTCCAAATTTTAAACAAGCTTGACTGGTATTATGTATGATGGCCTTTTACAAATGATCCTCATTAGAATTTGATTTAGACTTTAAAGCATTGCTTCCACAGGCAATCCTTTATTCTGATTAGCCAATTTTTATACCACCGCCAAAAATTTTTGCGGTCGTATATTGGTATCACGTTGTTGTCGTCGTCGTCCGAAGACACTTGGTTTCCGGACAATAACTTTAGTGTGAGTAAATATAAATCTATGAAATTTAAACACAAGGTTTATAACCACAAAAGGAAGGTTGGGATTGATTTTGGGGGTTATGGTCCTAACAGTTTAGGAATTAGGGGCCAAAAAGAGGCCCACATAAGCATCTATTTAGTTTCCAGACAATAACTTGTGTTATAGTGTATGGATCTCTCTGAAATTATACACAAGTTTCTATACCACAAAGGGATGGTTAGGATTGGCTTTGGGGGGTTATGGCTCAAACAGTTAGGGACAAAAAAGGGGGAAAAACAAGGGTTTCCTGGTTAAAATACAATTAAGACAATTTAAAAGCAGTGTAAGGGAGGTAATCCAAACACAAACAATGTTTTAAATTATGTAAAAAGGAATGTTGTACTGTCTTGAGGTGATTAGCTGTCAATTTACTTTAAGAAGTTACTATTAAATTTATGATGATTAAGGAATATTGATTTTAGCCATGACTATGTATGTCATTTTCTATTTTAAGACTTTTATGATGTATTTAAATGGGTAATTTTGGTTGCAAACTCCAATGGAAATTTGAATTGAGATTATGACCATATCTTGAGGGAAAGACAATTTCTTCATATATATATTTTTTTTTTTGCAAAAAAAAGGGGGGATAAAAAAAATTTTGTTTTGTTTTTTTTGGGGGGGATGTTTGGAAAAAGGGTGGGGGAGGGGTAAATTTTTTTTTATTTATTTGGAGGGGAGTCAATATGCAACAGCGTAGTGTATTGCACAAAATAAAAAAAAAGGAGGGGTAATTTTTTTAATTTTTTGGAGGGGACAATTCTCAACAGCAAAGTGTATTGCACAAAAGCAAAAATTTAAGTATAAATTCAAATCCTATAACCAATTCTAAGTTCTCAACGGTTTTGTTATAAAGAAATGTTGTATTCTTTTGAGGTGATTAGCTGTCAATTTATTTTTAGAACTTATATTAAATGCTGATGAAGGAATTTATTTTTAGATATTACTATTAAATTTTGCTGATCAAGGTTTTCTTTCTCTAGCCATGACTATGATGTCATTTTCTATTTAATACTTTGATGTACTTAAATGGGTTTGGTTTGATGAAGGAATTTATTTTTAGATATTACTATTAAATTTTGCTGATCAAAGTTTTCTATTTTTAGCCATGACTATGATGTCATTTTCTATTTAATACTTTAATAATGCACACTTTAGAATTTGGTAATTTTTTCGTTGTTGTACCATTTTGCATGGACTGGCTCATATAGGTGATATATCGGCTAAGGTACCAAGTAAGTTAGTTCTAGGTAAAGGAAATTATTGATTTTGCCATAACTTTTTGTTGAAATCAATATATCTTAAATGTGTTTTTTGCAAACTATGTTTTGATAGATGCCAAATCCATTGGAAACGGCTTCAAATCATTGCTAAATCATTGGAAATATGGACTTTTTGCTGATTGGTTTGTGGTTATTAAGGGTAGAATTTTAGTTGCAATGGATAATTTTTGTTTTTTCAAAATTCCCATAAAACTATAACTTTCCATATAAAGTATTATGAGTATTTTCTATTTCCTATCTTTTCGGCAATTTTTTTTTTTTTTTTTGTCACTTTGAAAATGATATGAGCCAGCCCATTTCGAAAAGGTACAAAAGGTCCTCTTTTTTTTAAACTTTACAAGACACGTTCGTTAAAATATTTTTGAAAAACGATTTTTATCAGAAAAAAAAAATATATTAATGTAAACATTGATAAAATTGTCAATTATGTCCCAACAAATTTGTCAATTAACACGGAGAAAGACGTAGAAATATCTGAATGTTTGTACTTAAGCAAGCTTAAAATCATTTGTTTCTCGGAACAATGCTATACTGAACAGAACCATTTACGACACTATAGAGACAAAAGGTCAACAATTTTCATCATCTCTACCTATGTTTAAAGATAGGAAGACAACATTTAAACGTAAGGGAAAATGCAAAAATTATGTCATCTTGTGTTTTTGAAATCAACCGTCCGTGCACGGGATTCGAACCGTTACCCCCCTTTCACTGCATTGCTGTCTGCATTGCGAGCGAGAGCCTTATCCCCACTGCTACCGGAGAGATCATCATGAAATGGCAATTTAAGATATTTAAACTCAACATGGAAAATGATTAAACTATATGAAATAATTCAGTAAAATTTG